GACAGAGGGCTTTACCACTGGACTCCTTTAGGCCTGTTGTCCTGGGGAGGGGACCATCGAGGTACATGGATCTTTCTTCCCCAGCCCTCAGGTCCTGACATGCTCAGACTGTCTTGGTTCACACTGCAGTCTACATAACTCAGCAGCAGCTGCTGCATCGGAGAAATGAATAGGAGTGAGGAGCAAGGTGATCTGGGGACAATGCAGAGTGGAGGTTGGGGTGGCTGTGTGTGTTGTTCAGCTGTATATGGATGGCATTTCCTACCCTTGAGTAAGAGAAAAGTTCCATTACACTTGGGTACATGCCGTTATATTATCAACCATTCAGCACGGGTGGTGGAAAGGAAAAGAAACTGTGTCAGCCGATTTATTGGGCTGGGAATGCAGCACCTCCTCACCAATCCTGACAGATGTATGGTCATACCTGGGAAAAAACTCCTCTAGTTATGTCTGGGTCCGTATGACCACTGATGTCCTCTTCATACTGCTTTCTTTGATTTTAGTTGGAGGCCTTTTGGAGTTGCTGGCTGTGGTGATTTGCATTGGGATGTAAGCCAGCTGGGTCCCCCAACTGAAGCACTGAATATAGCTACAGATGCAAGGATGCTACATCGATAAGCCAGCCTCGGCCTCTGGTGGTGGGGAGATGAGGGAATGCTCCTAGTTTCTTAGTACTGGGTCACACATTTGTGAGCACGCAATTGAGAAGAGGGATCATCTGGGAGCTTCTAAAATAACCTTGACCATCTCCACCTTCCATTCCTTCCCATCCACTAAAGCTAGAGGCAGGGGTAACAAAGTGCAGGCCATTTTGTGTGCCATCTGCAATTTGAATACATGATTTGGGGTGTGTGTGTGTTGTGTGTGTGTGTGTGTGTGTGTGTGTGTGTGAAGAACAGTATATGTGTTTCTGTGGGCCCAGGCTCCATCTTTGTGTGGGGTAATGGAAGCAAGGTTGATGTTTTTTTGCTGGTGTACCTCTTTCAGAGGAATATGGGACCAGGTCTGTGTAATCTGGTTTTATGTCTCTATATGTTTACATAAAATGAGCTTAGGGTAAATAGAGCTTCAGAGCTCCTTCCTCACCCATAGTTTAATGAAGACACAATTAATGACCCACAAAAGGAACAAGATGTACTAAACCTTTCAGCTGTGGCATCTATGTTTGTGATGCCTGGTTTATGTAAACCCTGCTGGATTTTTTTTTCCTTCATTTGCAATTGCAGTATGTGATACCCTGCTTTAGCTTTCATTTCTGACCTGTTCAAGTATAACTTTGCCCACTTACCTCCCATATCCCACTTCTAAGAAATAGGACCGCTACTTTATTTCAATATTACTCATATACCATATCTTGGGATCAGGATGCATAAAACCATTCTATCCTCACCTTGCCTGTTTTGGTGGATCAGTCATAGAAAGTAGGTCTTGGATTAGGGCAGGTTAGGCAGAAACTCAAGGGAAATGCATTCCCTGCCGCCGATAGGCATACAAATGTAACCTCCCCATCTTCCCCCACCCTCTGAAGCATTGAAGAATTTGAAAGGAATTTTTGAGTGGTGAGCTAAGGAGTGGGAAGAGAATGGGGTGGTGGTAGTGGTGGAATGTGTCACTATAGGACTAAAAGAGATTCTTAGACCTCTTATACCATGTACTCTTTTTTTCAGGGCTAGGTAATTAGGTTAGGTGACTTGCCCAAGGTCACACAGCTGGTTAGTGTTATGTGTCTAAGGCCGCATGTGAACTCAGGGCTGCTTGAATCCCGGGGTGGTGCTCTAACCATTGGGCAACCTAGTTCCTCACAGCTAGGTGGTCCTGGTGTTGGCGCCGCGTGTACCTGCCCCCATGTACTCTTAAAACCCTATAATCGTCGCAGAACTAACATAAGTTCATTCAGACTGAATTTGTAAACCCATTGCTAGGTTACAGTTAGACTAAACTATTGGTGAGGGGACAGAATTCAAAGGCTAGGGTGAATGGTCTCCATGTTTTTGTCCAGCCGAAGTGTTAGAGTAGTTCTTCTTCATCCTCATGCAAAAACTGTCAGTGAAGAGAGAGCGAAAAGCCTTTGTTTGTTCAGACGTTTTAGGCGTACTCAGTTGTGGCTCCACAGCCAGTTAAAAGGATTCATTACCAAACAGTAAGCTGGCAGGAAGCTGGATATGAGCACACGCTATGAATTGGGGAAAGGTTCCTTCCAATATGCATTTCTAGAACCCGCTGATGAAGCCTCCACATGGCTGGTGCTAGGCAGACAATATTTCATATATTCTAAGTCCTATGCCCTCCTTAATTCGTGTTCCTCCCTTCCCTCCAACCCCACTGCCCCACATTACACTAGATTTCCACAGTGATAAGTTCTTGTTGTTGCCAAGAGTAACTAATGAAAAGTTAAGGGAGTTTCAAATGTACATGATAGAAGAAGGTCCAGAATACAATGAGAAGGTATTAATGAGGTAGCTAAACCTTGATCTTTTTATCAGGTACCAAGTGCCTTGTTGATTGAGTCAAGAAGGTAACAACTATGATTGGCTGAAAAAAAGAATCCCTCACCCCTCTGAGGGATTTGAATAGCTAAACCCTGAGGAACCTGAAGGCAGTTAAGGCTCTTGACTAGTTTGAATCTGAGAAGGGGAGAGATTTTAAGCCACTGCTGCCTGTTGAGAAGACCCTTGCAAATGGGGAGAGGGAGGGACCTGCAGGGGGAGAACGAGGAAGGGGGTGGGGGAAACCCATGAGGCAGTGTTCTGGAATATCTGTGGAGGAGAGGACGAAAGAAGTTTCTGTGGAGGAGACCCCTGCAGGGAGGTAAGAAGGAAATTTCCCCTCCCTATCTCCACATCAGCCATATAGATTTGAAGGGGGAGGTATTGGTCTGTTAGGAACCAGTTTATCCAATGGGTAGCAGAGATGCAGTAAAGACAGATAAGGTCGCAGAAAGAGTTGCCTGGTGGAGGAAGCTGTTTCCAGGACAGTATCCCTTGGCAAACAAGAGTCAGGCTATGGAGGGAAACAGATGCTGGGAACCCAGAATGTGGCATCTATGGGAGAGAAAAAATATTTACAGGTCCCTTTGCATCATGTGTTGCAAATGCAATAAACAATATAATGCAACAAACATTTATAAAGCACCTCCGTGTGCTAGGTACTGTGCTAAGCACTGATGATAAAAATAACAAAAAGAAAGTTTCTGCCCTCAAGGAACTTACAATCTAATGGGAGAAGTATTAGTGTTTTTGTTCAGTTATGTCCAACTCTTCATGACCCCATTTGGGCTTATCTTGGTGAAGATACTGGGGTGGTTTGCTATTTCCTTCTTCAGCTCGTTTTACATAAGAGAAAACTGATGCAAACAGGGTTAAGTTACTTGCCCAGCGTCACATAGCTTGTTAAGTGTCAGAAGCCAGATTTGAACTCAGGAAGATGAGTCTTCTTGAATCCAGGCCTGGCACTTTATCCGTTGTGCCACCTAGCTGTCTTTCTAGCTGGGAGAAGCACAACACACAAAAGAAACCTGAAAAGGCTGGTGGAAATAGTACCCAGTAAAGGGTCATGGTGATGGAGTAAAAGCCAGGTGGTAAAGCTGCTGGTGAGAAATAGAAGGTTGTGTGGACCCCTGAGACCCCTTTGGGAGTTTTGCTCCTGTTTCTGTCACTCCATTTAGAGGAGCTGATGCAATAAGATTGTGATTAAATATGAGTACCAAAGCTTCTGCAGTCTCCAGGACAATGACATGTATCCTACCTGCATGCCTCACTACAATTGTATTCTGAGCCCAATCTTCTTCTTCTTCTTCTTCTCCTTCTTCTTCTTCTTTTCTTTTCAAGTTTCAAGTGTGGTCTTAGGTTATATTTGCACTTAGGTCTTCCTGACTTCAGGGACAGTCCCCTATGCACAGAGACACCTAGATGGCCCACGAGCCCAATCTTCGTGTGTGTTTGTGGGGAATCACACCTCAGATTTATCAGTGTTTTGTATCTACAGTTCTTACTATGCCATCTTGATAAATGCCTTTACTGTCTGTTGTCAACCTTCTTCTAATACTTAATTGTAATCAAAGCATTTGGGCACTAATGAAGTATTAGAAATATGGCCATTTGGACACCCAGTTCAAAGTGCAGGTTGGGGAAGTAGTCATAGACAATATATTAGAGAAAAAATGAGCTAAGTGAAAGACCAGTGGTCTTTGTATTGCTAGTTTTAGAATCAAACCCTTAGCTTTGAAGGGCGGGAGGCAAGGAAGAATAAGAGGAGAAGAAAGAGAAAAGAGCAGAGAAGGAAATTTCTCCTAGTGGTTAGAAGAGATCTCTGCTTAATATCGAAATAAGTTACATATTCGGGGTGCATAATTTAGGTTGCGTTGGACTTTTTCATTAAAAAAAGATATGCCGCTTATAAGGTTTTAGGGAATATTTCTGATATCAGTATCTTTTCAATCTTTATCAAGACAGGGAGAAAGCATAGGTACCCCCCTGTGAACAAAGGTTTGAGCCTTATGTTTCCTTTCTGATCCATAATACTTGGAGCAATTTGCTTTTTTTTTCTTTTTGTGCAGTTCTACGTAATAGTTTAGGCTACATGGAATGGGTAGGGGTCATACACAGATATAGCAACCAAGCATCTCCTTGATCTGTCCTCGGGAAATCCTTTCCCCAGCACTAATACTAGAATAAACTGGACTTAAATCTGATACTGAGTAGACCTGAGTGAGAGAACTCGTTGGGGATCTCCTATTCATTGTCCAGATTTCTATCAGAAGCACGGTGTTATGTCTATATGTTGGTAATTAAGTCATAATGCAAAGGCCCTATCACACTCCCAGATTGGGGAGAAAAAAATCTCTCCTCTAGGGTTTTGGTGATCAATTTGCTTTGCAATGTGACTTTCTTCTTCACTTTATTATTAATACCATCATATTAATACCATTGTTTGCTTTACACTCAAAGAAGGATCTGTGCTTCAAAGGAATTTTTTCTCTTTCCTCCCTTCTTTACTTTCAGGTTGATATTCTGTCTGTGAGAACCTGACAGCTTTTCCTGTTGATACTTTCCCCTTCCCTCACACTCCCAGCACCATTGAAGCCCCAGAAAGGTAATCTGAGCAGGGCCACCATTGCTTCAGCAAAAACAGACATCACTCTGAACTACCAGGTAAGATAAGAGTCTCTTGACCCTTTGCTGCTGTACTCTTCCATGTGGGATGGGGAAGAAACCTCACCATAGTGGTTTTATTCTACAGATCCTGAAAAGAGATGTAGATGGACTTCCTGGTTTATAGAGCAGACCTGAATGTCTTTGGTTTTAGGGAGTAGTAGAAGTAACATCAATAAATTTCTGGGAATCAGCCAACTGGGACCCTACAAGAAACAGCTACTGTCCAATGCACTGAAATCCATCAACTCTGCTGCAGAGAAATTAGGTATTGGAGAAAGACAGGAGAAAGTGTTGCGGGTTACATTGTCTGAATAGATTAGTGCAGTTGGTTGGGGCCCACTGCCAATGAGAACAAGGTTAATGGTTTTACCCCAGTTTTGTTATTTTTATGACTACAAACTGTTCCTAGACCTAGTACTCATCTCTCAAATGTCCACCTGTGGTCCTGATGATACCGAGTTTGGATCTAACTGCTTCCCGTATCAATGCGTCTGCCGCATAAATGAAGGACTGGGAAGGAGAATCAGATTAGACTTTTAGACGTTCTATAGGTAACCCATTCATTAACAGAACTTGTACATAGCTCAAAAAGGCAAGGCGATTTATGAAAGGTCATGCAAGGATTAAGCTTCAGAACCTGGTTTCAAATCCAGGGAGTCAGACTTTAAATTCATTGCTCTTTCTGCTATACCACTGTCCTCTGAGAAGGATCAAAGTAGTAAGAAAGCAGTTAAAGTAATATGATGATGAGAATTCTATGGCTTCAGTGCATGTAAGGTACCAGGTACAGGCTAGTGAGTTATCTTAAAGTTCCTAAGCTAGTATTTCCTTCAAATTTATGGGATCAATAATTCCTGTGTACTACACTGGTGTACTTATTTTCCCTCTTTATTGATAGCGGCAGCCTATACTCTCTTGGGATCTTGTGCATTTTCTTTCCCACTTCCACCTAGGGTAATAATCTTCATTGAGAGAAATGCTTCATGTAACCGCCTCAGGTTTGAAATCACTCTGTTCTCCTGTACCCCAAATCCTAGCCACTGTTCTTTAAAAAAAAAATGAATGTATACTATTGCAGGACCAAGCTGGGACAGGTATGTGGGTCAGCACAAGTTGTCAGGAAAAAAAAAATACAAACCAAAAACCAAAATGCCACCATCAATAGAGAAGCAAGTGAAGGCACACATCTTATGGACAGTGTAAAAACAACAGCAGTATCTCTAGATTGCACCTGATAATGAATCTCCTTGCTACCTCCTTAAAGGAGGGAAAAGAATGGATAAGTTAGTTCTGTTATGATTGCAGTTTATATCTCACCATTGAGTTACCTATTTTCTAAGTATTTGTGTCTCCTTAAAGCATAAATTGGTGGAATGAGGTAACTGCCTATCTCTCTTCATCCATTTATTTATTCATTCTTGTATGTATGTATATATGTATGTATGTACATTTATTTAAAAAAAAAAGACCGGGGCTAGATTCTGGCTGATTAGTTCCTTAGAAATCCCAAGTTTTAATCTAGGGAGGTAAATGCTGTGTTACAGTAGCTGGATCTTTCTGGCTTGGAGCAATTTCTATTTGTAGTTTTTTTTTTTTGTTGTTTGTTTCTTTGTGAATCTCAAGTACATGCTCTGTAATCATAAAATGTGGGATGAGATTTTGAGAATCACGATGCCTCCATTGGAGTCAGAGGTCATTTTGAGTGAAGGATTAAAGAGAAGGGCTCCTTCTCTAATGTGGCAGTTCAGCATATTTCCCTAGCTGCACTAATCAGTTTGAAGACTGCAAAGGGGGGCAGCTGAGTGGCACAGTGGATAGAGTACGGCCTGGGAGTCAGGAGTACCTGCGTTCAAATCCAGCCTCAGATATATAACACTTACTAGCTGTGTAACACTGGGCAAGTGACTTAACCCCATTGCCTAGGGCCCCCCACCCTCCAGAAAAAAAAAAGACTGCAAAGGAAACTGAGTTTTGCATGTCACCTTGAAACTGCTAAAGCACATTAAAAAAAGAGTTGAGTAAATGTTAGGCATAGGAATTGGACCTGTGGTTTCTTTGGTTATAGGAAACTCCCTGGTGAGGAAACTCCCTCCTTCAATGAAGGCTAGCATCTTCTCTGACACTTAAGTGTTCTGGGAATAGTGAAGTGTGACTTAGGCAGGGTCACCTGGCATGTATGCATGTATGTGTTACAGGTGAAACTTGATTCCAACTCGTCATTGATTTAAGAACAGATGTCTCTCTACCATGGCACCAAATGTCAATGTTTCTAAAATAAATGACTAGTTATTTTGATTAGCAATTTAGAGCTTTCTTTGTTATATAGATTCTCATACACAGTTATATAGCTGGTCCACCTTTTTTTCCTTACTCACTGAAACCCAAAGCTAATCATGATGTTAGTGAGTTTATTCTGTATGCTGCATCTAAAAAGAAAAAGAAGTATGGACCGAGGTTGTGAAATTCTTTCCATTTGCAATTCACAAACAAGTCTGAACCCTAGTGTCCAAGAGGGGGACAAGCAGAGAGCTATAGTACACATATTAGAATTCAGTTTAATCTCATGAAGTTTTCTTTACATACAAAGATTTCTTTACTTATAGCTTGTTCATTAGCACTCCAAATAGTAATTGCCTTTTCCAGCTCATAGTACGTTGAATGTGACCTGGATGGTTGAGAGTAAAGGATGAAAAGAGAACACTTCCCAGGAGGCAGTACAGTACAGTGGAATGAGCATCGGATTTGATGTAAGAGAAGTTCTGTGATTAAGTGCACTGGTCATCGCACCTAATTTCTCTGGGCTTCATTTTCCTTAGTTGGACTAGATGGCCTGTATGATCCTATGAAAGAAGGAACAGTACCCTCCATGTGAAGTCTAGGAAATTGGCATCTTCCTCTACCCGAGCCTAGTGGAACTCTCCCGCGGGAGACAAAAGTATTACTTAAAGAGCAACTCAAGATCATTGATAGAGAAATATTAGAAAAGGGTGCTCTGGAGGTGCTTTTGTTCCAATGAGTGGGAGTGTTAGATCTGCTTAGACATGAAAGCTTGTTGTTCAGTTTCATTCCCCAAGTCACTGCTGAAGCAAAGTAGCAGACTGGAGGAGGGAGGGGGCAGAAGTGAATGCTTAGGCATCTGTAAAAGGAGGTCAGCTGGGAAAGTGCTGCTGAGATAGAGCATTTTCCCCCACCTGTCCCTCCCTTTTTCATATCTTCCTCCTCCTTAGAAAAAGCCCCATAAATTAGGCCCCATTTTAAGGCCCATCCTTCTAAATATGGATTCAATTTAAATTTTACTGTATAGTAGATTCGCAGTGCTTGTTAAAAACATGAATAGAGATTAATCTGCTGTAAAATGAGATTTGTCTATTACATCCAGTAGCTGAAGCCTAGGCTAGATTCATCCATCATTTAGACAGGGAAGAGCTAGGCATTCCATCAGGAACCATGACCAAAAAGTAAATAAATAAATAAACAAAGCAATAAGTGTTTCCCATTTATTTTTGGAAGTCTGATTTTTCCCCTTTTCACTTATTTTCCCTGTACCTATGCTGTCATTATCATCACTACACTGCAATGGGGAGCCAGGTTTTCCTGCAACAACAATCTCACTATGCTGAAATGCAGAGACCTAACCAGGAAGGGTAATTGGGACTTTGCTTCAGGGTACCAAAATTTAGAGGGCTCCAACAATCAATGCTTGCTTTAGTTATTTTAACAGATGGGAATATTTAAATATTACCCCTACTTAGCAAGAATAAACAGTTTAAAAAAAATCACATAGAGGATATATTTCCTTCCCATAGGCAATTGAATGCCAGGGGAACTCCTCTTCTGAATTGGTCTAAGTATGCTCCTTTGCCTTAGTGGTGGCTTTCCTAGGAGTAACCTCTTGCAGTTCTGTTATTTTTGTCTTTCCTGACCTTGGCATCTGAGAAGTTGTTTGAACCAAGCTCCACACTTGAGCCCCTCAGCTGAATGTCATAGTTGTACATCAGGGGCAATAGAATCACCTGTTGTGGTTCAGCTGATAGGATCTAATGAGAAAGGGCAGTCTCCAGGAGGACCTGAGTTCAAATCCTGCCTCAGACCAAACTCACTTATCCCCAGTTGCCTAAAAAAAGGAAAAACAACAAAAAAAGGGCAGTGTTTTCTAAAAGCAGCATGTATGCAGTTGTCCCACTCTAGTTTTTGTGACGATGATGATGGGTGAAAAGGTCTTAGGGAGAGTGTTTGTAAACAAAACAAGTTGTGCTGACTGAGGGATGATATGACCTCTTGGTAGGAAATACCAAGAATCTACAGGGTGAATGGATCGTCGGCAAACAGCCCCTAGAAGGCCCTCCTCACAAATCATACTTTAATTGCCTATGAATTTCATGGGATCTAGCAACAGTACCTTTTCATCTTCCTAAGAAAATGTGATTCTGTGCACATTGGGGATGGTTGGTCATGTGATGGGAGCAGGGGGAGGCTTTCATATAAACCTGTCTTGTAAGCTTGTCCTAGTGGTGTAGGTTAGTGCTTACATTGTTCAGTCTAGTTATGTTTCTTCTCATTTCTTAAAAGAAAACCTACCTTTCCACTGTGACCCTCTTACCCTGGGATGTATCAGCGAGCAACATTGGACTCTTTCCCCATAAATCTTCTAGGAAGGAGTCTGTTTCCCAGACATATTCATCACTCATTTCTCTTGTCTACTTGTTTTTAAAAGCTATTAAATCAGAATCCATCATTGTGGGAACATGGGATTCTCAAGCATGGTGATGGTGGTGATAGTGGTGATGGCTTGGAGAAGTAAAGATTGCCTGCATCCACACTACTAATTGTAAGGGAGGTTGATCAGGACCTTGAGATTTGTAGAGCTTTGGGGTAAATGTCTTTTTGGTAATGGAAGAAAGGTACTCCTCTGATTTATCAATTTATACTCAGATATGATAAAGCACATCAATCTGCCTTTTATTTGAATTGCACTGACCACCAGCAGGAAAAACTGG